CGCGCCAGCACCTCGTTGTCGACAGCAGCATCTCGAACCTCCAGGCGTCACGCCGCGGCGAGCATCGCGCCGTAGTGACTCCATCTTCCGCGCCGTGTCAAGGTCGCGATACTCCGTCTGCCGTGTCACGGCAAGCCTCACGCCGTGGCGCCGAAAAGCTTGATATGCGGAACCATTTTTTTTACGTGATGTTTAATCGAGAATAAAAGACTATGGACCGTAGGGCTAAAAAATTATTATTCCGTACTTGTTATTTTTTTTGAACTCTCACTCGACAAAGAACTTTTTTTTTTCTTTTTTCTTCTCTTCCGTTTTGGATTCAATTTTGAAGGTGAAAAACCTCAAGATTTTGTCTTCCGATTTAGCTTTCAGATTTGGATTTCTCTTTGTTTTCGACATTGGTTTTCTTATTAATCGTAAGCATCTTTTCTCATTTAATTATGATGATTTGTGCTTGGGCTGCTATGTATTCTTATGTTGAAATTGCAATGAGTGGCTAGATTCGTTAGCTAGGGTTAGGGGATAATCGTTCTGGTTCGATTTTGTTTATGTGTATGGTTAATTGCTCAATCTTTTCGAGTAGTGCGTATTCTAGGGTTTAGATGTTTGATCACCATCTTAATCTAATTAATCGATTTGAAACCGAAAGGGGAGAAATCGTTCGACCAAGGCTCGTTAAGAATAGACTTGTTCGGTAACATAATGTCTGTGTGCTAATTGATTCGTTATTGATTTGTTTACGTTTATTCTCTTGTTTCGCGAGATATTGAGAATGAACCTCTGGATGAGTTAGTTTTTGAGTCCTTTAGTCGAGTAATTGATTGTTCGTAAATTGTTTTGAGAACCGGAAACAATATCCCCGATACCCTAGTCCTTTATCATTATTTGAGTTTAAACTTTAAACTGCAAGTTTGAAATTGCTAGCTTGTTCTTATTATTCGTAGTTGATAATCAAAAGACCCATATTTGAATTAGAGTGTTTAAGACTTGTTTCTTATTTCGTGTGTTGAATAACCGTGCAAAATAATCCGGCTAACCTTCCTCGTGATACGACCCGGTGTTCGAATCTTTCGATTCTACTTCGGTAAAAATATTTACAACAAATTGGCGCCGTTGTCGGGGAAGGTTTAGGACTTATTTTTTGCGCCTATTCATTTTGTTTTCCGTGTTTCTCTTGTTTCTTTTTATTTGCTAGGTGTTAGTTCTTGTTTTCTTTTGTTTTTATTTTATTTTTATCATTGGTGCTCGTAACCTTGTTGGTCTTTGATATAGCCATACTGTCATATAGCAGCTTACGATGTCCCGGTTTGAATATCGAGTTGACTTACCCTAAGTCGACTCCTCTCACATATCTCCTCATAATGATACATCCGGCCGAAGGTCCGGATGCTTTTCTTAGTCGACTTCTACCCTGTCGACTAGATTCAAGTCGATTCCGTCTGGAAGGATAAATGAGTGTATTAGGGTCTACTAGCGAGTGGGGGATGACCCAGCTGGATCAAAAGCAAGGATGTCTCAAGTCGACTGAAGTAGACTCGGGACTCTCGGATCCCCGACGACTCTTATACACTTCAGTATATCAGAAGTAAGCTATTAAGGGATAAGGAAGAATCTAGATGCTGACTAGGAAGAGGACAGAATACGAACCGACCAGGGTGTTTTGGACATTTCCAGTAAGTCGGCCAGGGCATTTTGGGGACTTCAGGTAAATGTTCTACTTCTATATAAAGGAGCTGAGGTAACTCCAAAACCCTAACTCCCATTCATTCCACATTCTCCTCCATTACTGCTGCTTCCTCAGATAAGCTCTTTTCACTCTTTTCACATACTGACTTGAGCGTCGGAGGCTCTACGCCGGAAATCCCTCCGGCGTTGAGTTCTTGCAGGTGTTCTCGCGGTTCGATAGCGATTTGGAGACCATCAAGACAGATCTGAGCTTGTTCTCATCGGTTCATTCCAGATCTGGGCGATTTTCCACCGGTTCACCCCAGATCCGAGAATAGACCCATCATTTGGCGCCGTCTGTGGGGAGTTATTGAAGGAATTAAGAGCTTTGCACCTAGCTTTGATCTGTGTTCGTTCCATTTTTGTTAGTGTTTTCGTGTTTATTTTATGTTTATTTTTCCCCATTCTAGGTATTTCTTTTTGGCTTTTGGTCCATTTTGAGTCTCGTCTTGCATTTCCTTTGTTTTGTTCGTTTTTGGTCTTTTTGTTTCTCTTCTCCGGTTTTTCGTGCGTTTCTCGTCGGTGGTGGTGTGCAGGATGAATCGCTCGATGAATGACCATGCGTGGACTACTACATAGATGGATGAGTTGGGGTCGAGTAGGAAAAGACGGAATTCGATTCCGTATCCGAATGCGTGCGTACGAGGCCAAAAACCGTCACCTTGCCAGAAAACAGCCTTCACCGCGGCCCGCGACTATGCTCCCGAGGTCGCGGAGAACAAATTTGCACTGCCAAGTTTTACTCGCCGCGGCCCGCGACGGTTCCTTCACCGCGGCCGCGGCGAACAAAATGTCGCAGACAAACAGCACTTCAGTCCAGGCTTTCCCGCGGCCTCGGGGGTTGGTCGCGGCCACGGAGCTTCTTCGCCGCGGCCCGCGAAGTCCGCGACCTGCAGATTTTTAAAGTTATATTTTGGGATCGTTTTTCATTATGTTTGATGTGAGGTTTTGTTCTTTCTCGTACGAAAAAAGTTCCAGAACCCATATTTTTCACTTGTTTCTCTTGGGGATCAATCTTGAGGGTGAAAACTTAGAAATTTGACTCTTGGATTTGGTTTTTTCTATTGTTCTCGACATTGGATTCGTTAATCGTAAGCTTTACTTTCGTTTTCCTTTCGATTGAGATGGCTTTGATTATTGAATATGTTGATGTTGAATGCATAATGATTAGCTAAATTCATTAGCTAGGGGTAGGGGATTATCGGTCCGGTTCGATTTCGTTTAAATGCTTGGTAATTGCTCATCTTTTCGAGTTGTGCTTAACCTAGGGTTTGGATACTTGATCTCCATCTTAATCTAATTAATCAATTCAGAAACCGAAAGGGGATAAATTGTTCGATCTAGGCTCGTTAAGAATAGGCTTGTTCGGTAACATATTGCCTATGTGCTAATTGATTCGTTAATAATTTATTTATGTTTATTCTCTTGTTTCGTGAGATATTGAGAATGAATCTCTGAATGAGTTAGTTTATTGAGTCCTTTAGCCGAGTAATTCATTGCTTGCTAAATGCATTAAGAACCGGAAGCGAAATCCCTGATACCCTAGCGCTTTTATAATAATTGTTCTTCGTCCTTGCTTACTACTTTCTCTGCTTTATTTAATTATTTATAGTAGTTGATAACTAAAAACCCATCCAATTATTTAATTTAGAATGTTTAGGAATTTTATTTCTTTTATTTCTTCTAATTGTGTTGAGTAAACGTGCTTAATAATCCGGCTAACCTTCCTTGCGATACGACCCGGTGTCGAATCTTTCGATTCTACTCCGGTAAAAGTACTTACAACAAAATTGGCGCCGTTGCCGGGGAGGGTTTAGGATTATTTTGTGCGCCTATTCATTTTATTTTTAGTGTTTCTCTTCGTTTTATTTTACTAGTTTATTAGTTCTTGATTTTATTTGTTCTTAGTTTTTCTTAGGTTTTTCTTCTTTGTTTATCTGGTGCTCGTGACGGTTTCTTGTCTTTGTGTATGCGTACCAGGAGTGGATGCAAACTGCTATCTCCAATCAACAAATCTGTCAACGAGAGCCTGAGGGAGCTGCGGGAAGAGCTTACTTTGGAATCGCACAGGAATGACGAACATTCTCCTAAATCATCCGAAGGCAGCAACCTCGATATGGGTGAACGACAGCAACAAGCTCCCCGTAACACCCTTCGAACTTTGGCCCAGCCGGTTATCGGGCCAGTCACTTCATGCATCCGTTTGCCGGACGCTGCACGGAACTACGAGCTTAAAATGATTCATTACAATCAGTTGCTGGCATTCCATGGGCTTCCAAGCGAGGATCCACTCAACTTCATCCGGGAATTTTACAATGTCCTCAACACTTTCCCTCTCAATGACCGTAATGACGAGCAGTTGAAGCTGAGGTGTTTTCCCGAGACTGAAAGACCGGGCCAAGGCCTAGTTCATGACACTTGCACCTGGCTCTCTCACTACATGGACCGAGGTGTACTCGAAGTTCATTGGGAGGTATTACTCCCATCAGAGGACTCAAGAGCTCCGGTCACAGATCGTCTCGTTTGCTCAATTACCGAACGAGTCTCTTCATGAGGCTTGGGAGCGGTTCAAGGATCTCCAACGGCAGTGCCCCCATCACAACCTCTCTCCGGGGCTACTCATGAACTGTTTCTATGATTCCCTCCACCAGAACTTGCAGTATATGGTCGATAACGCGGCGGGAGGTGATATCGGAGCAAGGACAGCCGAGGAGATGTTTGAGATTTTTGAGACGATGAGTACGAACTCGTCGCAGAAGAGCACGCGAGGCAAGAGGGCAGTAGTGAACAAGGTCGGTACAAGCAATGATACGGTGGCCCAACAGCTAGCTGAGCTTACTGAGCAGATGAGGTTGCTTACCGCACGAAGTTCTCAGCCGGTTAATACATTCGCTGTTGATACTTGTGGGGCGTGTGGAGTACCAGGGCATAGGTCCGAAGTATGCCCCTCATCTTTCGAGCATGACCCCAGTGAGCAGTATGCGGATGCCAGTGCCTTACAAGGATACCAGAATCGGCCAGCCAATGACCCATATTCCAACACGTACAATCCAGGATGGCGGAACCACCCGCACTTCTTGTGGTCAAACAACTCCAACACCCTTCAGCCACCCCGTCCGAACTTCATGCAGCAACAACCTCGACCCAGCTTTGTGCCCCGGCCGAACTTCCAGCCACAGCAGCCACAGCAACAGTAGAGGGGACCGAAAGCGGGGTCGAACTCGAACCTCCAGGACGACGTTGCTAAAATCCTTCAGCTTATGGCCAATCGTGAGCAGAGAGATGTCAATCAGGATGCCTCCATCAAGCGCATAGAGACACAGTTAGGCCAACTGGCCGCCAGGGTTGGGACCATTGAGACCGAGATGAACAAGGAGAAGTTACCGAGTCAGCCCGAGCAAGCTAAAGCTATTACTGTGCTCAGGAGCGGGAAGGAAGTGGAAAACAAAGTGCAGATGCCCGAGCCTGAAGATCAGGAGACTCATACAGAAAAGATCAAGGAAACAGAGTCCGGGAAGGCGACAGACGAGCCGGTGCTACATAAGTCGACGAATCCATACAAGCCGCGCATTCCCTTTCCAGACCGCCTTAGGAATGAGAAGCAAGAGAAACAGTTCCGAGATCTTTTCAGCATGCTCTCCAAGGTGAATGTCAACTTGCCGCTCCTCGATGTGATTAAGAATATGCCGTCTTATGGTAAGTTCTTCAAGGACTTGGTGACCAAGAAGAGGAAGTTCGAAGATGGAGAGAAGGTGGTCGTGTATGAGGCTGCAAGCGCAATGCAGCACGATTTGCCCAAGAAAGAACGTGAACCCGGTGGTTTTATTATCCAGATAGCTTTGGGGAACGGGAAGGTAGCTTCGGGGATGCTAGACCTTGGAGCCGGAATCAATCTCATGCCCTTCTCGATTTTTCAAAGGCTCGGCCTTGGGGATTTGAGGCCAACTCGCATGTTCCTCCAGTTAGCAGACCGTTCCATTAGGTATCCCAAGGGAGTAGTCGAGGATGTTCTCGTGAAGGTGGGTAAGCTTATCATTCCAGTGGACTTCGTTGTTCTAGACGTCGGGGATGTGCACGAGAATGGGAAGGATCATACCATTCTTCTCGGGAGACCGTTCATGGTGACGACTAACACCCTCATCGATGTGAAGAATGGTACCTTGAATATGACGGTTCTGGGGGAGTCGGTGTCTATTTTTGTTCGAGGGGCCATGTCTTCATCTTCTATCAATTTTGTAGAAGAATGTGCTTTTATTGATATTTCTGACACTTTTGTGGATAAGATGGTATGTCAGGAGTTCGAAGACGGATTGTTGCCGGTTTTTGAGGAAGAGGAAGAGCCTATAGTGGAGCTTTATGAGGTAGGAGAAGGCCATACCCGAGCTGAAACCACACTCGAGCTTAAGGAGCAGCCCAAGCACCTTAAGTATGTTTTCTTGGATGATGCCCATCAGAAGCCGGTGATCATCTATGCTGAGCTTGACAGTGAGGAAGAGGAGGAGCTGATATCCATGCTCAGAAAGTACCAGAAGGCAATCGGGTGGAGTCTAGGAGACATCAAGGGGATTAGTCCCTCTACTTGTATGCACCGGATTATCTTGGAGGATGGAGCCAAGCCTTTTCGGGATAGCCAGCGACGGCTAAACCCGAATATGATGGAGGTAGTGAAGAAAGAGGTGCTTAAGTTATTTTCTGAGGGATTGATCTACCCGGTGGCTAGTAGTGAGTGGGTCAGTCCTATTCATGTGGTACCGAAGAAGGGAGGTATAACCGTGATCGAAAACGACAAGAAGGAGTTAGTCCCCACCCGCATCACTACCGGGTGGCGTATGTGCAATGACTATAGGCGGCTGAACGCCGTGACCAAGAAGGACCACTTCCCATTGCCGTTCATTGACCAGATCCTGGATCGTCTATCGGGCCACCAGTTCTACTGCTTTTTGGATGGGCTTTCCGGCTACTACCAAGTGGCCATAGCACCCGAGGATCAGCCCAAGACGACATTGACGTGCCCCTTTGGTACTTTCGCTTTCAGACGGATGCCCTTTGGCCTATGCAATGCCCCGGGCACATTTCAGAGATGCATGTTCTCCATCTTCTCAGATATGCTTGAGGACTGCTTGCAGGTATTCATGGACGACTTCTCTATATTTGGTAATTCTTTTTCCCATTGTCTTAGCAATTTGTCTTGAGTCCTTGAACGTTGCATTGAGTCCAATCTGACCTTGAGTTGGGAAAAGAGTCATTTTATGGTTAGAAGTGGAGTTGTCTTAGGTCATATTGTTTCTTGTAGGGGGATTGAGGTCGATAAGGCCAAGGTTGATGTGATTGAACAACTTCCCCCTCTTGTGAATGTTAAGGGGATTAGAAGTTTCTTGGGGCATGCGGGGTTCTATAAGCGTTTCATTAAGGATTTTTCTAAAATTAGTCAGCCTCTTTGTCATTTGCTTGCCCAAGATGTGCCATTTGTATTTGATGATGCTTGTTTGTGTGCTTTTAATGAATTGAAGAGTAAACTTGTAAGTGCCCCGATTGTTATTGCCCCTGATTGGTCGATTCCTTTTGAAATCATGTGTGATGCGTCTAATCTTGCAGTGGGCGCCGTTTTGGGTCAACGAGTTGATAAATTGCTTCGAGTGATTTATTACGCTAGCTTGACCCTTAATGGGGCCCAACAGAATTATACTACCGCCGAGAAGGAACTTCTAGCCGTGGTCTTTTCTCTTGAAAAATTTAGATCATACATTTTGGGTTCTAAAGTGATTATCCACTCTGACCATGCGGCTTTGAAGTACCTTTTGAGCAAAACTCATTCTAAACCACGGCTCATCCGGTGGATCTTACTACTGCAAGAATTTGATGTTGACATTAGAGATAGGAAGGGGTCCGAGAATGTAGTTGCTGATCACTTGTCACGCATAGTACCATCTGAATCATCATCTTCTTTGATTATGCACCATTCCATTAATGATAATTTTCCTTATGAGCATGTGCATGCGGTGTCTAAAAGTGTTTGGTATGTTGACATTGTGAATTACTTGAGTTGTGGAAAATTGCGGCCTGATCTCTCTTCCCAAGAGAGAAAGCGTTTTGTTTTGTTGTGCAGGAGTTATTTCTGGGATGATCCATTCCTCTTTAAGATGGGAAAAGACGAGATTCTTCGGAGGTGTGTGCCCGAAGAAGAGCAATCGGATGTTCTCGCGTTTTGCCACGAGCTCAATTGTGGAGGACATTTTGGAGGTCGGAAGACCACCTTTAAAGTCCTCCAATCAGGTTTGTTTTGGCCAACTCTCTTTAG